AATAAAATGCCCTTAAGGGCTTACATATTCCAAGGCTGGAGCCCGATTAAAAAAAAAAATGGCTTCACGAACCCATACATTTAGAGCCCTTGGCTAGCAAATAATACACAACAAAAATAGAGTCCTTTACTCTTCACAAAAATAGGTCCACGCCCTAAACTCGGCGAGATCACCACATCTTTTCCTGCACCAAAATCCCATAGGGTTGAGCATAAAGCCCAGTAGAGAATCCTTAATAAAGTATATACATTTATGCAAAATTTCCGATATTAAATGCAAATGCCATGCAATGCCCAATTTAAAGAGGATTTCATTTACATGCCTTTTAAAAGTTACCATGTTCAACCATAGTTTGAAATCTCAACAATTCTGAAATTTACAATTTTATTCAACGGGGCGGTAAATACGACTCAGGTAATCCCTGGGTTGGTGTTTGCAAGTAGGCCTAACTAGCAGTACCAAAAACCCCACTTTACCGGTTGCTAACCAGAAAGGAAGTGGTACCTCCTCCGCGCTTGTTTTCGGTCTTTCACCCCAAATACTCCAGCCAACTTATCAATTCCATTTACACCTCCTATTTGGACTTACCAACGTATTTACCCCAAAAACATTTCCTTAGCTCTCTTTTCTCAACAATTCTTTTCTCAATGCAAGATATTTAAAATTCAAATCAAAATATGCGGTATCCAAACAATAGTGTATGCAAAGTGACAATTGATAATACTACAATAATAAATTCCTCTCCATTCTTAAGTATTTCAACAATAATCTCAAAATAAATAAGCTTTCATTCCTTTCATTCCATACTATCTCACAATGGAACCATGTTCCCATTTTAATTCATCGACAAACAACCACATTTCCATGTCTCAAGCAATTCCAATAACATAGTCATTTAAAGACTATAGCAACAATTGAAAATTTATTTCTTTCCAACACCAACAATTCCCCTATTTTATGAGATTCATCATTTAATGAATGAGATTCGTTCATAAATGAGTCATACTTATAATGTACACATTTGAACCACTATTCTCATTCACATCAGATTTACAAATCTCAACAAAGCAAAACGACCTCAGGTCCGACACATCATATCCATATGTAAAATGATCTCAAGCCCAATTCTTATATAAGACAAAACGACCTTGGGTCCATCTATACAAAACGACCTTTGGTCGAACCGACTCTTTATTCAAAACGACCTTTGGTCCAATTCGAACATATCAAACGGCCTCGGGCCCAATTCAAACATATCAGGCATATCAAACGGCCTTAGGCCCATTCTCTTTATATTCATATCTGTACGCATTTCATATTCATGATCATGATCCCTTTTCATTCAAACGGCCTTGGGCCCATTACGCTCATGTTCAAATGGCCTTTGGCCCATCACGGTATTCAAACGGCCTTTGGCCCATCATCATTATATTCAAACGGCCTTTGGACCATCTTTATATTCAAACATATCAAATGGCAAATAGCCTTAGGCCCAATTCGGACATATCATCGTATCAAACGGCAAACGACCTTAGGCCTAATTTGAATATATCAAACGTATCAAGCGGCAAATGGCCTTAGGCCTAATTCGGATATATCAAACGTATCAAGCGGCAAACGGCCTTAGGCCTAATTTGGATATATCAAACGTATCAAACGACCTTATACAAAATTAGGCGTATAGAATACTCATTCATTTTTCAAATCAACAAATCCATGAAGCTTATACAGAAGTAGCATTTGGAAAGTAACATACTTGAAAATATCTTTACTAAAATATTACCCATAATGTTTTGCTGGTAGATTCACCTTTGAGCTCGACTCTACACATTACATAACACATATGGGTCATAAACGATTCATTATGTTCTTAATTCATACATCCCTCTTAGGCTTCTTTCTTATTCTTCTAACTCATTTATAATGTTCAATGCATGCCTAAGAGTGCTTAGAAATAAAAGAGAACGGAAAATGAAACATAAAACCACTTTTCAAATTTCTGAAACAGGGTTCCCCGCTCGAGCAGACCCCCTTTGGTCTGCAAAAGTACTGGTTGCTTCACTTTTACGCTCGAGCGTGACTTCAGACACTCGAGCTGAAAGTCAAACTACATGGCCTAACGCTCGAGTGTGAATATCCCCGTTCTAGCGGACGTCCATGTCTACAAAAGTTCTGGAAACTAGCATTTCACGCTTGAGCGGCCATTACCCCGCTCGAGCGAACATGTCGAATTCTAGGTTTTCCAGTAAGCTGTTTGAGCTGCAAACTTGACATTCAAAGGTGCAAGGCTCATGTTTTGGACACCAAAAACATGAAAACATATTACATAGCATCAGGACAGGCCAATTGCTCAAATTCATGGTCCCTTTTCCAAAAATCATTTTGAATTCTTTACATAGTTCCAAAACATGTGTATTCAACTTCACACCAATTCCATATCTTCATCAATCATGCATGCATGTAGATTCTTGACTCCAATTCTATTCCAAATGGTACAAATGACACTTAATATCATGAAGCTCATGAAAATCATGCATGCATGTGAGATTTTGCACTCAATTCTATTTGTTCTACATAGTTCATGCTCAAATATGCAAATTCATAGCAATTCTATGCATGCATGTACATATAAGCTTTCAATTCTTCAATCTCATCTCAAATTATGTTCTTGATTTCCCAAATAGCTTGAATACACAAATTTACAAACTTATGCACATGAATTTATACTCAAATGCTTACTTAGGAGCTCTAATCACCCAAATTATGGTTAATTCTTGAGTTGATCTTCAAGATCTTCAAGCTTTTTGATTAATTCTTCAACTTGAGCTCCCTCTCTCTCTCTAACCGGCACACACTCTCTCTCTAGAGTGTAATCTCAGCCAAATAAGTGAAAAATGAGCTCAAAATGTAAATGGGCCACTTATATATATATGTTGGCTTAATCAAATTGATTAAGGCTAAGTAGTTGAGCTTAATTAATCGTTCTGAATCTAATTATTTTGATCCGAATAAATTTTCAATTAAATTTCACCATAGGCTCTAAAAATTACGCCAATCACAATAGCGTAGTCAATTTCAGTTTCTATGGCCGACAAGGCCTTCAATTTTCAGTTTATAACAATAAGTTGAACAGATTTTCCTACGGTGAACAGATAGAAATTCAAAACTACATATAATCATATAAATGACACTCAAAATCATATTAAACACATAATCACAACCTTAATTAAGATTAATTAGCATGGTACGGAACAGAGTTATCACACCAGCACTTTCACTTGCAAGGCTTCCAATTATGCCATCATCTTTTGCCCCAATCTCGCTTCCAGGTACATACATCTTCAGTTTTTTTTTTTTTTTTGTAAAAAATGTTTGAAATTTGAACCTATCTTATAAATTTAAACTTGGTGGGGCGCAATACCATGAATTTGATCCACTAATAATATTATAAGAACTGCATTTATGCATTACCATATGATGCGTTTTTACTGCGTTGGTGAAAGACAGTGGTGTGTCCCGTTAAACCAATGTAATAGTAAATACAATTTGATAGATAAATACCATCATCATAACATTATTATTGATCCACACATTTCAAATTCTAAATGAGTATTTTTTTTAAAAAGTTAATTACTACTTCAAAAGTTATAATCAACCATCACTACAAGAATTTACACATTTGGCGACTACTTTTGCCGACCAAAAAAATTTTGGTCGCGAAAAAATGACATTTGGCGACCAAATATTAATTAGTCGCGAATGATCATTATTTTTGGCGACCAAATATTATTGGTCGCAGAAGGTTATATTTTGGCGACCAAAAAAAGAGTTGGTCGCAGAAAGTGGTATGCTTTTGCCGACCAACTACAAATTTGGTCGCGGAAGGTCACATTTTTTTGGCGACCAAAAATTTGGTCGCCAAAAACTTATTTTCAGTAACCAAAAAAAATTAGTCGCCAAATTAGTACTTTTAGCAACTAATATTTTAGTCGCCGTTGATTGAGATTTGGCGACTAAAAAAGTTTGTCGGCGAAGGTACATTTTCTACGACTAATATGGTCATTTGGTCGCCAAAAGTTTGGGAGGGAAATTTGATTTTTAGTGGGGGCGGGAATTGAAATTTTTTGGCAACAAATAAATTTGGTCGCTAATTTAAAAACGACGTCGTTTTGTACCATGAAATCAGAAAAAAAAAATAAATAATAAATAAAAATCAAATCGGTGCTCTCTCTCTTTGTTTCTCGGTCTGCCCTCTCCCTCTCTGTGTTCTTCCTCTCAATCGGTGCCCACTCTCTACCAAATTGTCTCTGCTTCTCGAGACCGCTCCATCAAGCTGTGGAACACTTTGGGTGAGTGTAAGTACACGATTCGGGATGGTGACACTACAACAAAAATAGTCTTTAGAGACGAAAACTAATGACGAAATTTCTTTTTGTCACAAAATATGTATCTTTTAATAACAAAAATCATATTTCGTCTCCAAATGTATCATTTTTAGAGACAAAAATAAAATTTCGTCAATCATATTTCGTCTCCAAATGTATCATTTTTAGAGACAAAAATAAAATTTCGTCACCAATCTAAATCATAATAAAAAAAAATAGGTGACGAAATTATATTTCACCATTATTTTTATTTTTTTTGTCACCAAATATTTTCCCGCTAATATTTTCGAAGGGCGCCAAAATTAATAGACTTTTGGTGGTAAAAAAATTTGTCACCAATTATAAAATTATTAATGACAAATATATTTTTGTCACCAATAATTTGGTGATATTTTAATATCATTTAGTGACAAAACTAATTTTGTGGCCAATATTTTTATCTTTAGTGAAGAAATAATTTTGTCACCAAAATATAATTTAGTCACTAAATATTTTAGGGGAAAATAAAAATGTTTTGTTACAATCGGTTCCTCTTCTCAATCACGCACAATCATTTCTCGGTTCAAACCTATTTCACACACACACACACACACAGACGTTATACTACACAGGTTGCTCACATTGAATCAACCCACCGTCGCTCTACCATTTTCGACAGCCCTCACCGCCAATAGCCCTCACCACCGTCGCCGTTAGCCCCTCCTTTCCTCACCATCGCTGCTGTGCCGATCGGAGAACACCACTGTTAGTCTCTCTCTCTCTCTCTCTCTCTAATTACAATTTAATTTACAGGAAATTGGGGTTATCATTATGGGTGCTTCGATGGAGTTGACGGGATTGATCAGTGTAAAAGAAAATGAAAAATTGGTTTAATTATGTGTTAGTTTTGATTTTATCCCCCTTCTGGCATTAGGGTTTAATTGGAATGTACTCAGATTTTTGCAAATTTATTTACTTGAGATTTTGTTATATTGATGGGACTTTAGTTTTGATTTAATCGTTTATCTCTTTATTTAGAGTTTGTAAGTTTTAGAACTTTATAGGATATGAATCATAAAATGAAAAGAATGTTGTTACGGATCTATAGTCCTGCCCTATATATTATAGGTTGGTTGTCGCACTCCATTTTTGACTTAAAATGATGTTCTTTTTCCCTAGAAGTCTCATCTCGGCAGACCTTGTGGTTAACTTTGCCTTCTCTCATCATATAACTCAAATCACCTTAGTTTGCATACATTCATACATATATACATGCCCTTGGTGGTTGCACTGTAGCTTCAAAAGTTTGATACTGATAGACATATCTCATGTCCCAGCTCTATAGGACTTGAATGGAAAATTTAATACCCAGAATAGAGGGAAAACAATGCAGCTGTTATGATCTGCTGTTCTATTCCAAGAATCAAAATGTTATGCTGTCATCTGTTGAGCAAAGTAATGACAGTTTTATGTTTGCTTTTGCATAGGTATGACTATTCTGGGTATGGACAGTCTTCTAGGAAGGTGTGTGGCAATCAAAAACATTGAAACTGGGTATGGACAGTCTTCTGGGTATGGACAGTCTTCTAGAATGGTGTATGTGTTGACTGTGTGTAGAACATTGACAAAATCCCATATGTTAATTGTCCTGTGCTGATTATTCATGTAAGTATGCAATTTTCAACATTTTACCTTTTAGAATTACTTATGGTAATTGAAGAACCATTCTAATACAGTTTTTAGACAATTAAGCCATTCCATAAGCTAGTATGAAACTCTTACCTTCTTCATCTGCCTTGCTTCTTTGTTTCTATGTTTTTGTGGGTACATGTATATGATCATAACCACAGACTTGGATGACTAAGCTCTTATGACGTGATGGCTATAGTTGAGAGTTTTCCATGGTATTTGTCACATCCTCTCTAAGATACTTAACTGGTTTTAGAGAGAGATCCTCAGAAGAAGACAAATCCAAACTATAACCAAGACTCATGATGCCCAATGGGTCGCTGTGTGCGAGTGGTGGGAAAGATGGGGTTATTTTGTTGTGGGATCTGGCTGAGGGAAAGAAGCTTTACTCGCTCGATTCGGGTTCGATTATTAATATGAATGTATGAATGTATTGTATTGTAGAAGCGTAGACGTCTTAGGATATTTTCAATTCCTACATTAAGTATACATGTCAATGGATCAATACTTTTTCTTACTGTAACCTCTATGATTTTTGTTTATTTGTTTTTACCCTAATCAAAGATATTAGAATTTTATTTTTATTGTCTTCCTTCACAAGGAATTCTGAATTGCAGCCTGATGGATTAGCTATATCACATGTGGTTTAAGATTGCCGAGAATCCTCTTAGTTTTGTTTTTGTGTTGATTTTTCTTGCTTCATACTAATTTAGGTAATATGTATAATTATGCAACATCATTGCCAGCATATGTGAGGGTAATGAGTTTACCATTGTCCATCTATCGTGATGGTGGATCTTCTCATCTCATTCTGACATGGGTTACTTTTTCATGAACCATGTTAACCTTGCTGTGGCAATATATTTCCACTCTTTTTAGTTGTGGTGTTCTCTAGGGCACATCAAAGATTATGTTTGTTACTGTGTTTGCCTTCTTTTCTTTCTATAATTCCTCTACAAGATCTGCCTAGATATGTTCTGTATCAGAGATTTGTTATGTTGGGCCTCCATTTGGTTATGGACAAACCATTGCCTCTGTGGATGTCTAATTAGGGAGTTAATGTTTCTACATGCAAATGTCTAATAGCATGATCTTGTTTCAAATTTACTTATTAAAAGGAAAATCATGATCTTGTTCCAATTTTAATTATGTATTTTTTGTTGTTTTAAATAATTTCTAGTAGTTGGCATATATATTATTGAGGGTTATGACGTTCTGATTCTTTTTATATTATGTGGTTGTTGAATTGTGAGTTTTTACCTGTGCCTTCCAAGTGTATGCAAGATGGATTTCAGTACACCTATTGTGTATATATATATTTTAGTGTCTATCAGAGTAGTCATGTGTTGGTTTCCTCCATCTTCTAATGTAATTCTGTTCAAGTATTGTAAAAAACTATGTTTTTTATTTTTTAAATTATGCTATTTCATAGTTTGTGGACAGCTTTGTATGCGTTAACGTTGTTCGGTCATTGTTGCAGGTGGGCGTCCTCCACCAGAAGAGGTGGCATGACTGTTTTGGGAAAAGTTGTTGTTCCAAAACCTTTCAACTTACCCAGCCAAAGGTATCTAGCTTGCTGCTTAATTATTTCCATTTTCCTATGTTAATTATGGGGGTTCTCTCTCTGAAATTCTGTTCAATGTTGTTTCAAGGTTAGAAAATCATGGTCTGGACCCAAATGTGGAAATTGTTCCCAAGTGAGTAATACACAGTCTTGGTGATATATACTCTCTCTCTCTCTCTCTCTCACACACACACACACACACACACACACACACACACACACACACACACGTGCATGTGCAAGCACTTGGAGACATGCACACCTTTTTATGATCTTTCCTCATTTGATAATTCAGTTGCATGGGGTCCATCTCGTGTCTCAGAGATATTGGTAGGATGGCATAACTAAGTTCAGTATTAAATATTCATGTTATAAATTTTTAGTTAAAAAAATATTTATTGTCTTGCTTCTAGTTATTAAAAAAATTGCTGCAATACATTGTCTCAAATCTTATTTATATGAATGATTAGATTTCTTAGTTGGAGCTGCCTTTTTTCATTTTTAACCCTTTTTGTGTTTATAGTAGTTACTCCTGTTGAGGTTGCTGCATTATCTCTTGGCAACTTGACCTAACATATTATGTACGCAGGGAGTGGCAACCTCCAAGAAGGATGGGTTCTCTTTGAGTTCTGGAGACTTTCCGATACTATAATTCAGATTTTATAGTGTAAGTAAAAGATTCCTGCAACTAACAATTCAGATTTTACATCCAGCATGCATGCGATGTAAGTAAAAGATTCATATATAATTACACTATAATTCCTCTAAATGTTGTAGTTATTTGTTTGGGGATCGATTTGATGCGCTTTCACTAAAAATAGTTGCTTGTAGAAAGAATGTGAATAATATTAATTTAATTTTTTGTGGTAAGTAAACATGTGAACTTGAATGAAGAAAATAAAAATGTATAACTATATACTTGCACTTCCTATTCCTGTATAATTCTTCCATCAGCTAGAATATTGATGAGCTGATCAACACAATCTATAAATTCATAGTGTGGCATCTTTGTGAACAACCCATTAAACTTCTGTGACACAAAGTTTACACATCGCTTGTTTAGGTGTTTAAATATGATTCAACGTTGTACATTTTTATTGGGTTTCATCTAAAATTACATCTAAGATTCAAAGTTGTGCTCTTTAAATATGATAGATCTCATGTTGACTTTGGTGGAGTCTATACAGATTATGAGATGTTGAAGGATGTATTGAGATTTAGCAGACAAGGACTCAAAGTAACATGTGAAGATTTCAACAACATTATTGGGTCCTCTCCAGACAGTCTAGTCTACAAAGGGACCATGAAAGGTGGGCCTGAGATTGCTGTAATATCGCTTTGCATTAAAGAAGAGCATTGGACAGGCTATCTTGAGCTTTATTACCAGAGAGAGGTAAAGTAATTAGATTGATGGTGAACGTAATTAGATATGTGACAAACGACTTTTAAAATCTCACTTATTTTTACAATTCAGGTAGCTGATTTGGCAAGATTAAATCATGAGAATACAGGAAAATTACTGGGTTATTGCACAGAGAGTAAACCATTTACAAGGATGTTGGTTTTTGAATATGCATCAGATGGGACGTTGTATGAGCACCTCCATTGTAAGAGTAAAGCTTGTTATTTCTAATAGTTGGTTACTCCAACATGTTTCAGTAGCTGCAATTTGAGCTTTCTTTATAATTGCTATAGCGACCCCGGTATTCTCTCATTTGATTATTGTATAGTTGGTTACTCCAACATGTTTCAGTAGCTGCAATTTGAGCTTTCTTTATAATTGCAGATGGAGAAGGATGCCAATTGTCTTGGACACGGCAAATGAAAATTGTTATAGGCATTGCTCAGTGACTCAGATACCTTCAGACACAACTTGACCTACCTTTTACTATATCCGAGTTGAATTCTAGTGCTGTTTATCTTACAGAAGATTTTTCTCCCAAGGTATCTCAAAGCCTTCAATATTGCAGTGTGTTTAACATTTTACTCTTATTTATGCATTTAAAAAGAATGTCCTGGTCATGCTGAGATTGAGAAGATTGGTTCTTTTTCACCTTTTTCCCCTAATATTTTTTTATTTTATTTTTGAATTGTAATGCATTTGTTTCCTGAGTAATTATTTTCCATTACCCATTTTCTTTCTTTCTAGCTGTTTTTGTTTTGCCTTTCAAATCCTGATATAGTACTGAACCCTATACAAGTTTTTAATCATTGAGGACATTTGCTTCACTTTTTGCTGTAGCTAGTTGATTTTGAAAGTTGGAAGTCGATTCTTTCAAAATAATTTTTTTTCGCAAAAAATGACAATTGCCGACCAAGAGTTTTGGTCGCAAAAAATACATGTATTGCCGACCAAAACAGCTCTTGGTCGTGGAATCTCACTTTTGCCGACCAAAAGTTTTGGTCGCGAAAAGACACAAATGGCGACCAATTTTTTTGGTCGCGAAATGTGATAATTGACGACCAAAAAATTTGGTCGCGAAATGCGACAATTGGCGACTAAGAAATTTGGTCGGGAAAATATCACTTTTCGCGACCAAAGTGTTTTGGCGACAAAATAAATTAGTCGCGGTAATTAAATATTTAGCGACCAAAAATTTAGTCGGCAAATCCAACTTTTGCCGACCAATCAAAATTTTGGTCGCGAATTACTTTTGCCGACCCTCAATTGGCGACCAAAGTAGCGACCAAAAAAATTGGTCGCGGATAACTTTTGCTGACCAAAAATAGACTTTTAGCGGCCAATTTTTTTGTTGCCAAAAGTGTTAATTCTTGTAGTGTAATAAGACTATGTGTGATTTTGTGCACGTAGAATTTTTGTTTAGAAAAAAAAAAATTGTAGAGACCAATAAGTTTAATACCTTTTGTTTTGGACTAAACATGGTTGAGTATTCAACTGAATTGAAATTGATAATTAGTAGTTGTTTTCTGAAAAACAACACTCGTATCTATTTCGATCTATTTCAAGTGAACAAAAGCAATATATATATATATATAATTCTAAACAGTAAGATATAAAATTTTTACACATATTATAACCTGACAAATATTATTCCCTGATGAAATTTTTTAAATAAACGTACAATTTTCTTAAATTATTCTTGAAATGAGATATTCATTATAATAATATGATACAACTACCAAATTTAATAGGATGTGAGATTTATAGTTATTGGTGGGATTAGTGTTCCATTGATTGATACATGCCAACACGTAGTGCAGTGTTGATTTATAGTTATTGGTGGGATTAGTCTTCCATTGATTAATAGGATGTGAGATTTATAGTTATTGGTGGGATTAGTTATATATATATATATATATGCCAACACGTAGTGCAGTGTTGATTTATAGTTATTGGTGGGATTAGTCTTCCATTGATTAATAGGATATGAGATTTATAGTTATTGGTGGGATTAGTCTTCCATTGATTAATAGGATATGAGATTTATAGTTATTGGTGGGATTAGTCTTCCATTGATTAATAGGATGTGAGATTTATAGTTATTGGTGGGGTTAGTGTTCCATTGATTGATACATGCCAACACGTAGTGCAGTGTTGATTTATAGTTATTGGTGGGATTAGTCTTCCATTGATTAATAGGATATGAGATTTATAGTTATTGGTGGGATTAGTCTTCCATTGATTAATAGGATATGAGATTTATAGTTATTGGTGGGATTAGTCTTCCATTGATTAATAGGATATGAGATTTATAGTTATTGGTGGGATTAGTCTTCCATTGATTAATAGGATATGAGATTTATAGTTATTGGTGGGATTAGTCTTCCATTGATTAATAGGATGTGAGATTTATAGTTATTGGTGGGATTAGTTATATATATATATATATATATTTTATGTCGATCAATATATGAGAGTAATTATATGAGGCATATTACGTTATCAAATAGATTACTAATTCATAATAGCTAGATAGTTAACAAAGCCAGCCCAGCTAACAACCAATTACCAAGCTTACTAATCGCAAGCCCAACAACCACTTCACTACTGTTTATATACAACTCCCAGAACGGGGGAAGAAATAAATACCACCATAAAAATTGTCAAACTCCTCTATATAGATGTTGGACTCGAGATCTCACACAACAAAGAGTGTTACACAATCATTAGACTAAGGCCAAGTTTGGGAAGACTAAATAAGTGCACTTTTTGTCTTTTTGGACTAAAAAATTGAGGTTGAAAATATGGATGTTTGGGTTAACTTTTTGACTTTTTATTGAAAAATGTGTAATAAAAAATTGTAAAAATTGATTTGTAGGAAAAAATTTGAATTGAAAATTATACCGCCATAATTATTGCCTTTTAGTGAATAGTGTTAACTTTTTAATTATGCAACCAAGCCATCTTTTTCAATCAAAGACTTGAATGTCAAGTACTGCTAAGTCTTTACAAGAAACTTGAAGGGAAGGCCCCATGGCTTGTAATTCACTATAACGTAACTTTTGCTTGTATTTTTAATACATTTATTATATTTATTAATTTTAAATTTATTTGACATTATTTTTTTGTCAAATTTCTCATGATATTGCTTTGGCGTTTGTTTTAAACCATGTAATTATTTAACCAATTTTTTATTTTATTTCCTTAGAACAAAAAATCCTTCTCGTTGTTCCATATAAATTTTTTCATTAACTCACCATTTAAGAAAGTTATTTTCACATCTATTTGGTGAATTTCTAAATTATACAAAAATGCAATAACAATTAACATTCTAACGGATGTTATTCTAGTAACTGGTGAGTATGTGTCAAAGTGATTAAGACCTACTTTTTGCCTATATCCTTTGACTACAAATCTTGCCTTGTATTTGTCAATTGATGCTTTTCTTTTCCTCTTGAAAATTCACTTATATCCAAGAGGTTTACAACTTGGTGGCAAATCCACCAATTCTCATGTACACAAATGGCTGAACAGTTCAAGACATCATATTCACTGGTTAGCTAG